ATTTAGGCTACGATATACCAACGGCTTTCCATACTTCATTCTCCAATTCACTCTCGTGTGGTCATGTGTGACGTCATGAGATGCGGTGCGATTTTCGCTTCTAGCGTCTTATATGCACGTGTTTATCGTTGCTTAGAAATCATCTATGTAAACAATGACAGACTATCATCACTGTCTTGTCCGTATATTGCTTAATATGTTGTAATTGACATCTTTGATAATGGCTTATGTAAGCCGAAAGCTTAGATTATATTAAAAAAATATGGATCAATATTGTGAATTTCTTTCTTCGTTCAACGATAATGTTATTAAACTTATCAGATGTTACGAAAAAGATTTACATAAAATAAATAGACAACACTTGTCTATATTATTTAATGAAACGTGTATATATATATATATATATATATATATATATATAATGGTATCCGAAGTAAAAGTGAAGATGATGAATCAAAGTGGAAATATTCTTTTTTCTTTTTATATGCCGTGTCCTTTTCAGGATGTTGGCGATCATGGCTCTCCACTTCACCCTGTGCTTTGCAGCTTTCAACAGTGTCCGTCCTTGTGCCACTCCCAAGACCACGCCCTGTCATCCACATAAGCCCGCCAGGTATATCATGCGTTGCTTTCCTTTGTCTCTTTTTCCATCTATTCGACATGTGAGTATCAGATTCTCCAAGCCGTCCTTTCACATTACGTGTCCCAGAAATTACAGCTGCCTCTTCCTGATGTTAAGTGTAAGTCTCCTACTTGTTTGCATCCTTTCCAAAACCTCATCTTTGCTCACACATTCGGTCCATGATATCCTTAGCATCTATCTGTAAAACCCTACCTCCGTTGCCTCGAGTCTCTTCTTCATCATTGAAGACACCGTCCAACATTCGCTGCCGTAAAAGAGGACAGACGTCACATAACAGGTCAGTATCCTTTTCCGTGTTACCAAAGAAATGCTCCGGTCTCGTAATACGTTGCCCAGCCTTTGCGTCCTTGGCCATCCCAATACGTCTACGGAGCGTCACACTTACCGTCCACTGTCAAAACGCTCCCAAATAGTTAAACTTCCGCACCTGCTTGATTTAAGGGTTCCCGACCTGCAATTCGCATTTTCGGGCTCTTCAGGGATAAGTAGTGCAAACAGACAAACAAAAAGCTGATAACCACTCTCTTGAGTCTGGACAATGGAGACAATAAGGTAATATAATTTAATTTGATTTATGGTTACCACGTATACTCAGTTTTGTCTTTCTTTCATACATACATATATATATATATATATATATATATATATATATATATATATATATATATATATATATGTGTGTGTGTGTGTGTTGAAACTTGACTAGTGCATGGAATAATAATGCAACCTAAAAATGTACTTAGAACAAAATGTATTGAAACAAGAAAGTGTACACAACATTTACATATAGTCTTTTTGTATGTTCCTGGTAAGACCGTTCCTGGAGAATGTGTTGACTGAGTCGCAGTCAGGCAGAGTCTCTGTTTGAATCTCTTGATTCCTCCTCTCTTCCCGGTACCAACCATATTTATATGGTCGGTACTCCACTATACAAATTAGGTGGATCCTACCACAATAATATATATATATATATATATATATATATATATATATATATATATATAGAGAGAGAGAGAGAGAGAGAGAGCGATGGATAAATTTCGTCTAAATTACACAAAAATGAAAATAACAACGACGACTTATTTTAGCAGATACATTTACCAAAATTACACAAAAATAGCTTCAAATGTTAAAGAGTAAATCTATTCAATAAAATCGCCTTTGGCTTCAACCACAGCCTCCAGACGACTTCGGAATCTTCTGCAACTCTTCTGGGCGGTCTCCTTGTTCAAGTTGGTGAATGCTGCTATAATCCATGCTTTCAGTTCATCTTTGATGTTACAGTGACTTTTGTTGCTCTCTCGCTCAACTACACCTCACACGTAATAATTAAGAGTTTGCAGTCTGGGGAGTTAAGGTTGCTGGATGTAAGGGGTTATGTGACCGCAGAAATTGTCTGACAGCCATGGTTGTGTTCTCCTGCTTCTGTGGAATGTTGTAGAGTCCTGTTGTCAGACAAAGAGTCTTCCGGCAGACATCCTATTTAATCAGTGCAGCACTAAATCCTCAGAACGCTTGATGTAGGCCTCCATGTTGAGTCTGAGGCCCTGTGTGAAGATGAATGGAGGCATAACGTCGCCATCACTAATGATCACTTCGAACACCTTCGTAATCACAATTAGACTCATCCAACTTTTTCCGAATCCTCTGCACTGACTTTAGATTAGCACCCAAACAATCTGAAATATTTATATTGGAGCTTCCGGCGGGAATGGCAAGTAAGACAACATGCCGTTTCTAAATATCTGGCAGAGTGAATTGCGTCATGATACTCTTTTCCTTACAGACGGTACGAAACTGACCCTATTATACTGTTCAGTCGACAAAATCAAAAACAAAGAATGCGCATGCGCGAAATTAAAAATCTGCAATGGCGACAATTTACACATCGCATGTGTGGGTTAGTGTTTATCTTCATAACAGTGTGAATGAATCGTATAATTTTATTTACAATTATGTTCCCAATTACTCTTGCTATCTATACAAAGCACTGTCCACTGCACAGATCTATTGTAACCCGATCTAATCGGACTCACCATTTTATTTTTCAAGGCTTAATCAGATCTTCCTCACGCTCATTTTCTTCACTCTCTTTCAGATTCTTCCGCCTTTCGTTCCAATTTGTCAACAGAACCCCCCATACGAAAGTATCAAATATTCAGAATCTCCGATACCACATTCCTCTTTGACTTATCCAGGGGTTTTTTACGGCCTTTGGTATGTGCGCCTATGGGCTTATCTTGAAATATTTTTTTTCCTCTTTTGATTATCTCGATAGTTTATGAAGTTAGAATGGAATGTTCGATGTATATTTTTTCCCGTTTGGGGATTTTTTTATATCTGAAAAATATAAATTATCGCAGACTGAGAGAAAAAAATATTCGGCGAAATTCCATTTCATTTAAACAATCGAAGAATAGATAGATAGATAGATAGATAGATAGATAGATAGATAGATAGATAGAAATTAATTTGGAAAGAAAGAAAGAACGATAGAACAAAAGAAAGAAGTGATAATGAATTAACTAAAAAAAAGAAAGAAAGAAAGAAAGAAATGGAACATGGAATTAGATAGATAGATAGATAGATAGATAGATGAACAGAATGTGATAGATATGAACAAGCTGAGATAGATAGATAGATATGAATTAATTTGAATGAAAGAAATAAAAAAATTGTAATAAATTAAGTAGAAAAAAGAAAAAACAAGAAAGAAAGAAATGAAAGCAGCAAATTAACTAGTTAGATAGATAGATAGATAGATAGATAGATAGATAGATAGATAGATAGATGTGAATTAATTGGAAAGAAAGAAATAATAATGAATTAAGTAGAAATAAATAAAGAAACAAACAAACAAATGATAATGTATTAAGTAGAAAGAAAGAAAAGACAATGAATTAATTAAAATGAAAGACAGAAACAATAAAATGGAAGCAGTAAATGAAGTAGATAGATAAAGATAGATAGATAGATAGATAGATAGATAGATCAGCTCTTAACCGTTACAAAACTCTTGCCAAAGGTGTAATACACTTTCTCTTTAACTTACCATAATACAGTTTCTCGTTGGATGAAAAGCTGCATTGTTTCTTTTGTGTTTATCTTAATTGCTTCTAGAATCTTATCTTGTACATTTTCCCTTCTTAACTCTCCGCCTCGTTGACTTTGCCGTTAACAATTTTGTGCTAAGCTAACAAGCCAGAAATTTTTCGCGGATCGGAAATTTAGCATAAAATTTTGTGCACATTTATTTTTCCCTGGCGAATTATAAGGTTTACAAGGTTGACGCACTTAATTTGCGGAGGAATTACTTGAAACGTAGAATAATCAACTGCATCTCTAAATAATGTTGGATACATTAAGAAGAAACCAAAGACAGTTGCTAAATCCTGGTTCTAACGCATGTTACGTTTTGTGTCGTATCGGGATCCCACGCTAAACGTCATCTACTTTTGGTATTCGTTTTATTAAGTGTGGCATCTTGGATACAAAGAGGCAGTAGAAAGAATAACGTCACAGGTGGTTGCCTAGCCGGTCGCTCACCTGGGTGTGGGATGCATATCGACGCTTCAGAATTTTTGCGACCCTTTGTTGAACTTGCGTCGTTTTGGGCTTATACTTAAAACCCAGAGAAAAAAGAATGCCCCGCCCAAGAGACGCTGACCATGCTGGCCCTGGCCTTCGCATTCTGTAACACGCAGCAAAAATTCCTTTAAAAGCAAAAACTGTGTGTGTGTGTGTGTGTGTGTGTGTGTGTGTGTGTGTGTGTGTGTGATAGGATGTTGTTTACGCATTTCCACAGTTTTCATCCGATTTCGATGAATTTTTTTGTTTGATAGACAATTCTTCAGTGCCAGTTTTGAGTTAAAATTGTTGGCGACAATGGCTCTCCACTACTTCCTCTCAGCAACGTTTTACTATTTACTATCTGTTCTTGCATATATATCTTGCATAAAAACTTTAATAAAAAATGAATAGTTTAAATTATTACAATAATATTATTTATTATTCAAGTATTCCCTTTTCAGGGCCACCCACCATTCAAATTTTTAACCTCCCCCCATTTTGGGATGTGCCTCAGTTGCACCCAATTGCTGTTAATATTATTTATTTATGGATGGGCTGACTTTAAACTTAAACTGCTTCAATTGAACGGCAAAAATTCCCAGTGATGATAGACCTGGTCAAAGACGGGTTATACTGCTAGCATATATATATATATAGGGTGTCCATAAATTTCGGGTGCACTTTCAAAAATGTATAACTTTTTTTGTATTTGCGATAGAAATAATCTGTAAAAAATGTTATAAAGTTTAATGTACCTAGTTTTAAGCAGAACTAAAATAACTAATGTGATTTCAGACATTACTGTAAATCAGTTGGCAAATGTTTTCCGTGAACTGCAAAATAGTATTACCCTTTGTATTGCTACTGATGGAGGACATGTGGAAACTTAAACAAAATTTCAATAAAACCTTAAAAAATATAGATTTACTTCTTTCTAATCCTTTTTACAAATTATTTCTATCGCAAATACAAATAAAGTTATAAATTTTTTAAAGTGCACATGAACTTTATGGACACCCATATATATATGTTTGTATGTGTATGCGTTTGACCAGTTTTTTCATTGATGATTTCATCATATTAAATTTATGCTTACGTTGATGCAATTACACGTATAATCATTCATTCAAGAGAAGAGTGATTCAATCTGAAAATTCCAAAGAAGCAAAATATATTATTCTACCTACCAACTCTCTCACAACTAAAATTGAAAAGAATTTATCTAAGCTTAACGTAGAATTTGTTACAACTACTTCTGAAACAGTAAAAGGTAAATACTGAACAAGGAATTTACTCTTTTATCTGTAATAATTGCCATAAGGAATACATAGAATACACGTCGATGAATTTTAATAAAAGATTGTACGGACGCAAATTGAATCTTTTACAGACGAACGCACTAAAGGCATTTGTTGCTGACCATAATTTCGATTTAATAAATGTTGCTTTAATTAAGAGTGAAATCTATTTACTAAAACGAAAGTGTACAGAAAGTGCATTAATTACTTGGTTACGCATAGTAAATTTACGTCCAGATTCTTACAACGTTTCACCTTTCTTGGCCCACTTTTAATTCTTTTCCTGAATCATCTAGAGTTTCTTTACCTGGCTTTCCACTCAGAACTGGGGCACCTCGAGGCGGTGTAATGGTTAACAAGTTTGTCTCGCTAGAACAATTACGACTGAGTAGTGAGTTCGATCCTCACTGGGTGCCCAATACTTTCGGCCTTGTGCTACATCTGAGCTACTCTTGGAAAATCGCTATGCACTTAGAACTGAGTCTCTATTGTGTGCTAGGCATATGCTTCCGTCCGCAGTTTCTCTAAACTGGATCCCTAAATTGGACTCCCAGAAAGCAGGTGGAAAATGTGTTCCTGAATTGTCTCCTGTTATTTCTAAACTCTACAATAACTGCTTTGTGTTTTTGGCTGCACATTAAAGAACAAGAATTGCAAAGAAACAATTGACAACAAAACCGAAACAGACTGCTGAAACCATTGAAGGAGGCATAAAAAGGACGGAAAGCTCGGAGAATTTAACACCCACAATAGACGAGGAAGAAATTTCAACCGGGCGATAGGCGAACCTATCTACTCCTATTAAAAGAGATATAAAATTCATTTGGCGTGATAAGTCTAATTTCCTTCCGTTCTGGATATGACCATAAACTGTATCCGGCAGCAAGGCCCCTGATCAGGATGTTTTTTAGAAGGATGGAACCAGCTCTTATTTTTGTTGTTCCCAGGTTCACCTGATCCGTGGTGGTAGCACCTGTTAGAGGGGGCATAGCTATGAGCAAATAGTGACCCCCCCACCAAATACTACATTTTTATAATAAAATGAGAAATACTTTTTTTTAGTAAAATGACAAACGATGCAACTCTAAAAAAAAATATAAGACTATATTTCTATTAGTAAAATTGCCTACAATGCATTTTATAATCTCTCTCTCTCTCTCTCTATATATATATATATATATATATATATATATATATATATATATATAACATAACTTTACTCTGAAAGTATAAAATTATATACAAAATAGCTGGAGTTGAACGTCTAAAATTACGTACAGAATATTTTAGATTTCGCATTAAATAACCCATAGAGGTGTTGATATGCCACTAAACAATATCAACCACCCAACCATTCTAATTTCCTTAAAAACCGTTCTCATGAAACCATTTTACAGTGTAAAGAGAGTTGTCGGGACCGGAGACGAAGTCTCTTATATCCGGGTTTCTCTTATATCCGGGTTTTGTCTATTATATATACATTAACACAGGCTCTAATTTGGGACCAGAGAAAATCTCTCTTATATCCGAGTCTCTTATATCCGGGTTACACTGTACAAAATTTCAACCAACAGTTCGGTCAATGAAAGTAGAATGTTTTCTCAGTGAAAACGGTTGATTTCACAATGACCATCAGGTAGTGATTAGAGTCGCACTTTGTAAACACCTAAAATATACTTGACTTAAAATTTAAAGAACCGATCAGATCCAGTAACAGCTAAATAATTTAAAAAAAAAAATAGAAGGAAGAGAGTTATCCAGATGACAGTATTCCTAAAATCGACTACAAATACTGAGGAAGGTGCTGGAATGGCGACAAAACTTGCCACTTAACCTCCAGTGGAAGTTAGTATTTATTACTGTTGTGGATTCCGAGATGAAATTCGGTCTCCAATGAATGACAAACGCAAGAAATAAAGATAACAAATTAAATGTATTTACACAATAATACAATGGGTAATTGATAGTAAATCCAGGAACGCGGTTAGTCGTAATAATAATAATATAGATATAGATATAGTGTTCGAAGTAGGACTTCCTTAGAGTCTACATGCTTGTAACTGACTTCTACAAGCGGTACCTCTCTCTCTCTCTCTCTCTCTCTCTCTCTCTCTCTCTCTCTCTCTATATATATATATATATATATATATATATATATATCTATATATATATATATATTCTGACTGACTCAGGGTATTTAACGGCAGCAGTCCAAGTAACACTCTGGTTGAGTCCACTTATATGAAAAAGGGGTGGACCCCATAACAATTACTAATTTGAGGAATTTTTTTTTTTTCGATGTGAAAGTGGGTTGGGTTGGGTTTTTAGTGGTATTACGTTAAACAAGAAACATAGGCTCTCCTAAATTTCCCAACCCTTGTGACTAAGATCTGTCTTTTTCTCCCCGCCCCGATCTGCGTTCCATTCGCACAAATTACGTCATGTAGCTGGCTTGCTGTCTTATCCTATCTCTCTCGTTCTTAATACGCCATCTGAGGGTTAGATTTTCCAAACCCTCCTTCCTCGTTTTGTCTCCAAGGAGTTTCAGCTGTTTGTTCCAGATTCTGTTACTTTTGTTGAATTTTTCAAAAAGTCTTCCTTGTTGCTTGCCCGTTCCGTCACTGGAATTCTCAATATCTTTTTATAGAACTACATTTCTGTTGCAGCCAGATTTCTTCTCATTCACGAGGAGATGGTCCAGTAATCACTGTCATATAAGATAATGGATATCACATAGCAATCTTTTATTTTTTTCTAATGATTTTTTCTGTTTCTCAGCGCCTTGCATAGCTTTTGGAATAACTCTTTCGCTAGTGCAATGCGTACTTCGGATCTCGGTGTCACATTTTCCATCCGCTGTTTAAACGCTTCGCAGATATTTAAACTTTTGTACTTGTTCGGTGTTAACATCTCAAATTCAGAGTTAGCTTCTTGAGCTTTTTCTCTTGCCGATGGCCATATTTACTATCTTCTTCCAATAGACGAGGAACAAGAATTGCTTCAGCTGTCGTAGGGTTTCCCTACGGAGACATCCCAGGCGCCAGAAAGTAACTCTCGTCAACCCCTCCCCTTGAAAGAGCCTGCAGCATCCGTCACCCCGCGCTGAAACTGTGCATAAGAATTGTAATCTAGCACAAAAATGTGTTTTCTCAATTAGTGAGTACCGTTTTTTTTTATTTTATTTTATTTTTTTTACTGATGGTTCACCCAATATAAAGGCCCAAGAGCCACTGAAGGTAGTGAATTTTTTTTTTTAAGAATTTCACTCCAAGCAAGGCGGGAGTGCCACTAGCACGCAGTGGGGTGGGGGTCATAGAGTGAAAGTGAGAGAAAAGACTCGACATAGATGGGATTAAGGAAATGATAAAAGATGAACGGGGATCAAGGCATTAGAAGATGACAATTGACGTTGCATTTAATTTTTGAAGATTTTTTTTTTATCACTTTCCGGTATTAATGGCGGTTTCCTTCCGAAACTAATATTTAGTGTGATCTGGAATGTTAACATCTTGATAATGTCATTATTTAATCTCCAAGTTATATATGTTACCCATTTTAGATATTGCTGTTGTTGGTAGTCCTCAAGTGATGTGGTTTTTGTTATTTGGTACAGTTCTTTGTTTATGATTCTGTAGCGCCAGTGCACAATGAAGTGCATTATTTCGTCTACGACAAGCCGGGTTTCATTGCCCATACTTGTGAATATATATAGAAAAAAAAACTGGTAAAATTCTTACGTCATCTCGGCGGGAGATTAGGAGGGGCTGTCTGCTAAAGCGACCAGCGGGACCCTAACCTTTGTTAAGCAATAGAATAAAGAACGTTTTAATCTCACCATAGTGGGTTGCCATTACACTGGCTACTTTCTCGTTAGTCATCTTGTTTACTGAAGCCTGCTTAATGAGACACAAATAATGGCGTAGGAAGATCGCAGCCTATAAGTCTATTTACCAAAGTGCATGCAACTTTTCTGATATATATATATATATATATATATATATATATATATATATATATAAAGTACATTTCGTTGTGTGTAGGCGCGTGTTCGTTTTATTTCTTATATATATATATATATATATATATATATATATATATATATATATATATATATATATATATTTGTTGTTTACGCTAAAGGGGGAAATCGAGAAGGAGCATCCGGCCCCACATCTCTACTTAAACCCAGTGCTGTCGAATTCTATGCTGGCTAGAATAAGCATCTGGGTTTTGAAGCCCTAAGAGTGTTTTTGTTATCGCCATCTTTAGAAACAGAAACGTAACCACATTCTAAAGAACACATTAGAACCACACCAACGCAATTTCAACAAGCACATCCCAACACTTTCCATAGATGGAAATCCGTTTTGAGTACCTTTTTTTTTCTCGTCTTTTCATCTTAAGAAAGGCGATAAAGTCACTAAAATGCAAGGGGTCACTGAGAGCCAAAGAAACTGAGAAGAAAGAAAGAAAGAAAAAAAAAAGAACAGTATCCAAGGAAGCAGACGACAATGAATGCTACATTTAAATTTTTGAACATCAAACTTATCTAGAAAGCAAGAAGCCGGAAAAGAACTCCACAAATTTCAAGAAAAGAAATTGTTAACGAAGCTATTGAAACAGAATGATGAGACCTAACTACCAATCTAGTACTGCGCTTACATTCATAAAGTATAGTTACAAAAGGGGGAAGCTCATCAGAACAATAACCATAAAAACATTTATAGAAAAAACACAGGGAACATTTTGGTTATATTACAGTATTGGGAAAGTGACTGAAGCCGAGATAACAGGTCAGAACCGATAATATTGCAGATTCTTTTATCAAGAATCGCTAACTACATAGTAGAAATACCAGCCCAGAACTTACGGTTACATTTAGCAATTTCAAAGGAAAGATAGTGAGACCTAACTGGTAATCTAGTACTGCGCTTACATTATGAAGTCGAGGGGTCAAAGCGGAAAGATCATAACGATTGCCATGAAAATATTTTTTAGGAAAGTTACGTTATAGCGGTTGGAAAATGATTGAAGCCGAGATGACAGATCAAGAAAGATGGCACTGAAGATTCTTCTTTAAATTTTGTCAAGAATTTCTAGATACATAGCAGAAGCACTGTTGCATAGCCCACCCTCTTTACGAGTGGTCCTTATCAACGGTGCCAATTCGATAAAATGTAGCATCTTCTCTCTCGGCCGGTGATCGCTCGATGTTTTGGGCAGTAATGACTGACATCAAACACGGAGAATTTTAACTTATCTATTTTATTAATGTCAACATGTAATAACTATCCAGTGGGGGGGTCGGTACCCTCACTGGGGAGCTGTTTCAGACACGAAACAGAACACGTCTACATCTCATGACGATAAAGAAACAATTCGCTTAAAAAACTTTCTCTAGCTATCATTCCCACGCTAGCTCAGCCAATCAAAATCGACTTCTTTATCATGTCTTACATCTGACCCCGAAGGTCAACCACCGGAAGTCAGATACACTTCGCCTTAAAAATAATAGTCCGCTAAGCTGTTATTTAATGTACTAAAGGTTCTTCAAATAATGACTTAGCGATACAAGACTTACTAATTAACCCATACCTGGGGGGGGGAGAAGAGTTGGATTCATACCTCTCCCAAGGGTATTTGTGTGTAAATGAATATAAGGAACCCAAATAGAATATTGCACCATCCACACATCAAAGCTTACCGTTCCTGGTGTTCCAAGCAGTCACCCATCTTAGTACTGACCAGGTTCGATGTTGCTTAACTTCGGTAGCCATTAACTGGTAAAATAGCTTCTGGTGATGGCTTTTCTTTTCCATTCGCCACGAATTGAAATTGAGAATTTTCCTTCTCTTATGCTGGTTGACATCTCAGAATAGGGAACTTAGTGTACCCTTCTATTTAAACACTAATTAGGAGGAAAACACACAGATTTATTTATGCCTTTCTCGAAAGAAAAGTGAAAGTAAACTAGTTCAGAATTTGAACTTGGATTCCGTCGCTTTCTTCCAACTACTGACCACGGTAGGCTGAAGTCACAAGCCTTGGATGGCAGCCAGTCTAGGAGAAGGACATCTCTAAATTCAAAATCACATGGAAACGGCAACGAGAAACCAGTCCACTATCAATTCCAAGAAGTCATAATTAAATGACAATTCATGGATAATGTAGAAACGGGATCTGTGGAGAGCCATGATCGCCAACGTCCTGAAGGCAGGCCTTTTAAATATGAATAATGAGTTGGAATCAGATATTGATCAAATATGGATCGGAATCCGACAGAATGATAAGATATAGAACAAGTAAATTTTTTTATCAATCTAACATTTTATTAAAGCTTTGTCAGAGTTTGATCTGTATTTCAAATAACTGTTTATTTACGACATATGAGACGAGGTATCCGCATCAACTGTGACCTTAGTCCGTTCAGCCTAGTTGCAGTATAAACTACAAGTTGGCTCTGTGTGTGTTGAAGAAACACAAATGATCCTGAGAAAGTTATAGAATAACATTTCTGCTGCCTCCAATTTTTTTCTTGTCCGTGGTGAGATTGTCTAGCATTTAACATATAAGATGATAGACACCACATAGCAATTTTGCACTCTTTTCTTTGTAACGAAATTCTCCTGTTTCTTAATACCTGACTAACTCTGAATTCAAAACTCGATATGACCCTGGTACGTACTTGAAGGTCTGATGTATATAGTTACAGTATAAACCAAAGTTTGGCTTTGTAGGCGTTAAAGAAACACAAATGTGACATGCTGAGAAAAGAGGAGCCATGTAGAAGATGAGAAATTACACTGATTTACAATATGCCTTCAAGTCGAAACAGCAATGACGATGATGAATGGAGGTCAGAGTTCAAATTCAGAAGAAAATCCAGAATTTTGAATTCTAATTTTTAAAGCAGGTAGCCCCCCACTCCAGACTTAGACATGAAATATACGTATCCATTTCTCCATTTCGTCTCCCATTTGTACGGATTAAATAGCAGAGCAAATTAAACTCGCTAGCCGTGGTTAGCTACCAGTATAGGAGAGGAATAATTGAATTCAAAACTGGATGTTACCCTGGTACTTGAAGCTTAACTAAGATCCGATGATCTTATCGTTATCATAGTTACTTTATAAAACCATTAGTTTTATTATAAACCACAGGTTGTCTCTGTATGTGTTGAAGAAATACAAATGGCCTTGATAATGTTGTAAAACAACACTTCTGCTGCCTCTAGTTTTTTTCTTCACTCGGGGTGAGATTGTCTAGCATTTAGCATATTCTGGATACCACATAGCAATCTAGCACTCTTTTTTTTTTTTTTTTTTTTTTTTTGTAATAAAATTCTGTTTTTCAGCGCCTTGCTTAGTTTTTAAGTTTGGTAAGTCCGTAAGGATCGAAATTTTAAAAACTTAATTTAGCATCTGTAGGTATTTAAGGAGGGCAAATTGTGATCTCTCTCCATGGTTGGCAACCAGTCTAGGCGAAGTACAACTCTAGTGGGGTACATGCATGAAGTCTAACAAAGGTCCGCTCAGTATAGTTGCAGTATAAACCAGAGTTTGGCTTTGTGGGTGTTAAAGAAACACAAATGTGATATTCTGATAAAAGAGGAGCCATGTAGAAAATGAGAAATTACACTGATTTACAATATGCCTTCAAGTCGAAACAGCAATGACGACGATGAATGGAGTCCAAATTCAGAATTTGAACTCTGACCTCCAGAAGAAAATCCAGAATTTTGAATTCTAATTTTTAAAGCAGGTAGACACCCCCCACGACTTAGACATGGAATATACGTATCCATTTCTTCTCCCACTCATACGGATTAAATAGCAGAGCAAATTAAACTCGCTAGCCGTAGTTGGCTACCAGTATAGGAGAGGAATAACTCTGAATTCAAAACTGGATGTTACGGTGGCACGTACTTGAATTTGTATTTCTTCAACACATACAGAGCCTTAGTCCGATGAGTATAGTTGCAGTATAAACCACAGGTTGGCTCTGTATGTCTTGAAGAAATACAAATGGCCCTGAAAATGTTGTAAAACAACACTTCTAATGCCTCTAGTTTTTTTTCCTTCACTCGTGGTGAAATTATCTAGCATTTAGCATATTCTGGATACCACATAGCAATCTAACACTTTTTATTTGTTTGTAATGAAATTTTCCGCTTCTCAGCTCCTTGTTTTGGTTTGTTTTCTTTTGTTTTACGGCATATCAATGTCAATGGGTCATTTAATGCCGACAAAATTTTTACTGCTGATAATTTTCAAAAAATGTATTGCTGGTAATTTTTTTTTTTTTTTCAAAATTGTATTGCTGGTAATAATTTTTACAAAGTATTCTGGTATTAAAACCTATTTTTACATTTTCCTAGTGTTTAATTTGGGTGTTAACTTTTTACCCATAGCTGGGACCCTAACAGGTGCTACCACCCCGGGTCAGGATGGATCTAGGAACACCAGCAATTAAGATCTTGTTCTACGCTCCTCAAAACCTCCTGATCAGAGGCCTTGCTGTTGGATGTAGTTTATCGTCTTGCCCAGGACACGGATGTAGCTTATCGTCATACCCAGGAGGCGGATGTAGCTTATCGAAATTTTACAAACTTAATTTAGCATGGTGCAGCAAAAACGCGATAAGGTTAGGCAAGCAAGTGCAGGGACGGCAGCATATTTTATAAAGGGTACTTAAATCAATAAATACATAGAAATATCAAATATTACATTCTGTTCTAGCATAGTGAAAGAGCTTAAATACAGATAAATATTTAAACTTCTATCAATATAATAAACAAACGTAACTAAGACCCGCTCAGCATAGTTGCAGTATACACATCAGGTTGGCTCTGTGGGTGTTGAAGAAACTCAAGTGGGCC